GAAGCCCACTTTGTCTCAGTGATGAGAGCAGTGATGTGTGATCTCAGTATTATATCACTTGGCGCTGCTCTGCTCGGCGTGCCAGGGAGGATCGCCGTCGTCTACTTCACAGCGGCTGCCAGAGAGCATCGACAACGTTACAGAATAATCGATGTTGTTTCATGTGAGTTTGTTCAGCTATGGGAGTCATTTGAGCGTTCGGTAGTTTTATTCACATGCGATTCCCCGCCGTGTATCATCTGCGCTTCCAGGAAATAATAACGCTGGTTTGTATTTTGTCTCCTGGATATTTTATAAGTTGTTGCACTACAGCTTGCTGTTCACAAGTGCTCCCTTTGGATGCCATTGAAAAGCTTTTAACTCTGCCTCAGGAGCGCCATATTCTGTAATAAATCAGCTGAGAACACATTCAAATGTCAGTATTATTGTTGGAGAACAAAGATAAGATGCATGCAGACAAAGATGAATCTGTCCTGTGATCACATGTGGACAGCTTTCAATTTTGTCCTCGTACAAATAATGCTGTAAGCTGTAGATTCAGGATGAACACACACTGACTGAGAGAAGGCCGAGGCAGCGCCAAATACCACACAAAGTCAGGGAGAGGACGAGGCCAACAGCACAAGATGGACACAACTTCACTCCGGGTTGAGCCAACCGAAGCAGGAGGTGATGCTGCTCAACCTGAACCAGAGGTTAGTCTGCCAAATGCCAATCAGCTCCAAAGGCTGCACATTTACTACGGAGACCACACCTCCCAATGACAGCTAAACAAAAACAAACTCCTCAGACGATACTGGACGAGCTGCTGCTACAACAGAAAAAAAAGCATCTCATCATAGAGCACCAAATCCATAGTTCTATATCCTAGTGTCTGGCTAGGGGGTGCACCGTCAGCATTTAGGAAGAGTGTGTGTGCTGGGGTACACTCTCACTTCACCTCTCTTCCTCTCTCTCTCTCTCTCTGACATGAGGACCGGGGGGAATGGTGCAGCGAGTCGACCGGCTATCACTCCCTCGGATGGGGAGAACATTACGGTGTACCTGCACCTCTCAGCACTTTCACTTCACCGGCAACCCGGAGCAATGTTATCATGATGGCCCGAGTTCAAACAGCTCTCTCTCTCTTTGGATAGAGGCCTCCATGCACCATTAACCCCGGGCTATCCATCATCTATCCGCTTGTTCAACGGGGCTGCAATACACCGTTAATGTTACCGACACTGAAGCTACCCCTTAATGGAGCTCACACTCCTCGGCCGGTGCTGTTCGGGCAAAGTGAGGAGGAGAGAAGCGCTTTTAAGACGCAATAATACATTTATGTATCAGCAGATGGGACCGTTTAAAAAGCAGCTTCGGAAAGTGAAATGTTTGATGTGCTAATAATCTTCGTCTAAAGTGCCAAAAAATATTAAAAAAAATAAAGTGAAATGTAACTCAAGTAACCAAATACAAGGGAGCGCTGAATGTGGTTGAAAAGTGAAGCAGCAGCCAGTCAGGCGGTGAAACGAGCCACAGAGCGGGAGGCTTAGTGAGAGGCAGTAAATCCTCCAGGTAAAGAGGTTAACCTGCTGCTCTCTGTGGATTGTGGGCAGCATGGACGGGCAGGTGTTAAATGATTAGCAAGAGGCTGAGAGGAAACCTGCCACTGTTGTCTCACACACACACACACACTCACACACACACACACACACACACACACACACACACACACACACACAC